TAGTCTTGCGGCCAGGTTTGGTAGGGTTAGTCACTTCAGGCGGAGGAGGGTTGGCAACTGCAGGAGGCTCTGGGGTTGCTGAAGTGACCGATGACATTTTGGCAAAGAGGGGGAAAACAGCTTAATGGGGGGGGAAAGGGGTCTTAATTATTCTGCACAGGCAGACTTATTTTCAATTTGATTTCTCTTTATGCTTTTCAGTTTCTCTCTCTTTTAGCTCTTCAGTCATCTGAGAGAGACCACATCCCATTGCAGGACCCAACCTTTGACCTCTAAAAAACAAGAAACATAACATGAGTCAGAACAAACGCTTACCTATGCATTTAAAAGCTTTATGATGTTAAAAGACAAACAATACTGCAATTAGATTAAAATAGTTCACACTTTAAGGCACAATAAAACTAATGTAGCAACAGATCTCTTCCGTATTGTGAACGGAATGAATATGTTAGTGAAACATTTTCAAGGAAAGGAATAAAAATGTAGAGCAGGAACATGGTTTTATCCACCAGTGATCATTTGATTGGAGGCAGAACTGAATGTGAGCTTGCAGTCAATTTTAAGAAAGGGTGGGGTGTAAGCGAACCAAATGATTAGAGAAATCCGGCACACATCACCACAGAGATGTCTGTCGCTTCACCGGAAGATCAAGTTATGACATACAACTAGAAATAAATAGGTGATATTTTCATGTCATGCCAACTTTAAGAATCATTTCCCCTATTATAACAAGCCTCCAATTGTGTCCATACACAAAAACGTAGCACTGACAACTCTGTAAAGAATCCCATACATGTGTACAAACTGAGCTATTATACAACCAGCATGCTGACAGGTAATGTAAACATGGACATTCATTCCGAGCTGGAAATGCTATTATGATGGATTATGTTCTTGACATATCAAATAACACCCCATTTTCTAATCCTTCCCTGAAAGCATTTATTTAAGAAAATTCTGTCATGATTTAATTCTTCAGCTGTTTCAAGCCAGCACGACTTTTCTCAGGAATACAAAAGGAGCAGACTGACGTCGCAGTCAACATTCACTTTTATGGTATGGAAGATGAAATGTACGGTGGCCGAGAGAGCTCAACGCGCTGCAACTGAAGAAAACACATGCAAATACAAAAAAACACATGCAAATACAAAAAAACACATGCAAATAAAATAAAACGCATGCAAATAGAAAAAAACGCGTGCAAATAAAAAAAAACACCCGCAAATTAAGAAAACATCTTCATCAGTTTCACAACACACGTGTGCTCCAAATACTCACAACACCACCAAATACAAACGTGCTGCAAAAGCTCACAACACAAATACAGAAAACGCGCTGCAAATAACACAGAGCACAACGGAAATGTTTCCAGAGGAACCAAATAAGTGACGAACCCGGCTGGGACGTGCTCAGGGGACGTGCTGGAATAGATATCCATAAATCTATGCGTCCATACATATAGTTTTATGTCTATATGTATGGACACTCTTGAAAATGAGATGTTGCATCTCAAGGGGCTATCCATTAATAAAATTGAAATTGAAATTAATTTCCTTATTATTTTCACCTGGGATGTTCCCATGACAACGCAGCACAGCGTCCATCAGCTGAAGAGCTGTTCTTACCACAGAAATATAATGCTGTCAACATAACGGATGCAAATACATTTTTATTTTTAGTTTACAAAAAAGCTTTTAAAATATGCGTTATATCTGTGTGTCTCAACTTTAAAATTTTGGACCCTACATTACCTAACATTTCTTACGAAACTTTTCTTTATGAAAATGTAATAACATGAAACAATTTGTACAGTGTAACTGATGTATAGATAAATATCTTTCCTTCATGATTTTCTTCTTTATCTTTTTTATTTATTTATTTTAGTTTCCAGCTCATTCTTTTCTCATTTGTATTCTGATGACATTGAACACATTGTTAATACATTTTGTACATTGTATACAAGTTGTATGTCATAAAAAAAATGTAATCTCTGTATGTTTTGCAAAAATAAATAAATAAAGTATAATTTTAAGCTGTAAGCACCAGCACGCATAGATTTATGGATATCTATGCCACTGCCAGCACGCACGTCCCAGCCGGGTTCGTCACTTATTTGGTTCCTCTGGAAACATTTCCGTTGTGCTCTGTGTTATTTGCAGCGCGTTTTCTGTATTTGTGTTGTGAGCTTTTGCAGCGCGTTTGTATTTGGTGGTGTTGTGAGAATTTGGAGCACACGTGTGTTGTAAAACTGATGAAGATTTTTTCTTAATTTGCGGGTGTTTTTTTTTATTTGCACGCGTTTTTTTCTATTTGCATGCGTTTTATTTTATTTGCATGTGTTTTTTTGTATTTGCATGTGTTTTCTTCAGTTGCAGCGCGTTGAGCTCTCTCGGCCACCGTAGAAATGAAAGTAAATAGTGTGACAGACTTTTTCTGAACACAGAAAATTCCCCTTGGGTATGAGAAAATTATGACAGAATGGTGAAAACTACACCTTTAAATCTATTTTCATCAGCTAATATTAATGAGTGTAGTTGTATGAAACGACAGCAGTAGTCACAGCATTACCGGGTAACGTTAAACAATCATGCCGCCTCACTGGACTAGGTCCACTCACCACCGTTTCTAAATCATATTAAATGTTCCCTTTAAAATATGCATTTAAAAAAAACTCACGTTTACTAATAACAAGAGTATCAACACCCAAACCGGCTAAAACAAACATTAGATTAATTCTCATCTATCTGCTGCACACACATGCCGCGACTAGGAGAAAATGTAATCAAAATGAATTATTTCCAACGCAGCCTTTATATTCCATAACTCCAGCCTCCCACCACAAATATAGCCATCAACCAGTATATGTATAAAATGAACAGCCTCCTGGTGTATCTGCACAAGAGGAAATAGAACCGGCGCGCAGAACGCAGCAGCTGATTAGCTTTAGCACAGTCAGTCACACATATAAAGATGGCGCGCAGCTACAGCTGGCTAACAGAGTTAGCATCCACGCTGACCGTCTCAACACCTTCCCGGGCCTCTATTATTGATTCACACCCACCCGTAATACATACAACGAAATTATAGCTAAATAAAGAGGCATATAACTGCTTAGCGAGTGAACGAGCTAATTTGGTCATGTTACTTCAGAGAGGCTTTGTTGTACTGTCGCTTTGTTGAAAACAACTAGCCACTTGCTAACGGCTTCTCGTGAGACTCACTGATTGAACGCGAACTATATTAAAATGTTGACATGGAATGCGAATTACAATGTTTAAATATGTTGTTTAATTAAAAATGTAGTGCATTACTCACTCAGGGGCTTTAGGAAAGGGGCAAGCGTGTGGAGATCCTAGTGGCTCGTCGCTTGTTTGGAGGCTGGGCAGCAGCACAGAGATGAGGTACACGGAGCGTTGTGCGCATGCGCATTGGCGCGCTATGTCCAACGCCAGGCCATTTGCTGAACATGTAATATTTGGTTTTGTCAAATATGAAAAAAGTATGGAAAATGAAGCGTATATTATTAATTTGGTGACTATATTTGTTAAGTTCCATTTTCCATATTCATCTGTGTAAATTTAGCAATCAGAAACCTCTTTTTTCTGTGGTATTGAAAGAATTAGAACACTATATGGTTTCTATTAAGGACAGTACAAACAAAAAAGCTGTTAAAACTATTCATTTATTGAATACATTTATGATTTTGTGAATTGTCAAAGCCTTTTAATGTCTGTTTGGTTTATTATTCCGTTTTTTGTATCTTAGGGCCTATATATTTTTGTATACTTGACCCTGGCCCTTTTATTTTTATTTTATTATTATTTATTTCATTTTATTTGTTCAAGTTTTGTAACTGTTGTTCAAGCAATAAAAAAAAATAAAAAGTAGTGCGACTCCTTTATTTTATTCCCACTGAGATTATATGTTGAGTTTCTTATTTATATAATCTAAGTCCTCTGCACTTTTAATAAAACGTAAATTCGTCCCCCCTTTTTTTCGGGAAAGTGAGTTCATGTAGAGGTTCTCATGGGCCAATCCCAATGTAAATACATCTAGATTTAGATTCAAATGGACACGATATACACGATATAGGCACCATGACCCGGCATTTTTATGACGTTCCAGGAAATCCCTTATTTGGACAAAGGTACCCACTTATCCCTGTAGTAGCTGAATAAAAAAACAGAAAAGTTTTGACTGATGAAACCATAGGATGAAACGTGAAGACGTTTATTAACAATAACATATGATTACAGAAATTTATGGTTTATTTGTGCTTTTCAAGCCATCTCAGGGTGTTTTCATCATAATAAAGTAAATGTTAATGTAGTGCTAATTGACATTTTTACATTGTCTAAAATCCATGATAACTTACTTGTAAAACATAAACGAATTTGTACATAATTGTGTTTGTAGATCATAAAATTGTCATAAAATTGTCATTGATCATAAAATATAGGAACAATTATTTTAGAATACAAATTATAGGTTATTGTTCAGCAGTGTATTTGATTTCTTAAAAGGCTATTTAAAAAAAAATAATGAAAGACCCAATTTATACCGAGAAAAAATAATAATATAAATTTCGGTAAATATTATTTGTAAAATATTTAGTTTATGTTAAGTTGTTACATTATTATTATTTTGTACTATTTTTTTCTAAAGCAATGCACTGTTTTATGTATCATTTTTTTAATCAAATTGTATTTATTTATTTAAAGCACATAGCACTAACTATATATACACTTTGCTTAATATAATGGCAAATCTATGTTCTATTTTAATACCTCTTTAATGCCACATAATGTGATGACATTTTTAGAATAATATTGTTAAAAAATGATGGCGATCAGAAATACTTACAAAATATAAACGAAGTATTTGGTAGATCTGCTTTCAAGCAATAAAACATTACATTGTGCACGGTATGGGTCTAGATCGGCGTTTGAAAAAATGTCCCTCTTGGTCTGCCGTTGAGCTTTGCGCATGCGGAGTTGTTGTCATTGCCACATTACCGCCTGAGCTTGCGGTGAAGAGAGGCGCTCATCCACCATCGTATTCAGTACGATCACTTTGATCATTGCATGGTCAAAACGGCCTAGCGCGCGATTCATGAACAAATCTACATCCAAACCCAGTAGTGGACTCATACCAGAAGCCGAAAGCAGCTCTTATTACCTCCTCAGCAGCCGCCGGTGAGGGATTTTACTCGCTGCTTTTGTTGTCTGAATGTATGGGAGAGAGAGACAGAGAGAGAGAGAGAGGCATGTGTGCAGAGAAAAGAGATACATCAATCTGTGCTTCATTTATGCTATGGGGGATGGGACTGACGACTGAAACGATCGCGGTAAAACCATGAATTTGGACACAAAGTTTTGTAAATTACACAGATATGCTAGATTGCAGGTGATCCATCGTTTCTCTGAGGCCCTGCGTCTCTCAGATAGCCTAGCAGCTAACAGTGGTGGTGTTTTCACTGGTCTGCTCCTGACACCGACACGAGTTTTGTAAATTATATCTAGGTTTTAGCTTGGGTGTTTATCCAGATGATTTTAGACTGAAGTCAGGGTCCCATTGCCAGTGCCAACAGTCTTGCCAGTTGCCATGCATGTTGTGGTGAGGAAACACTGTTTTATCAGACTGTGTATTATTAAATGTTTATTTTTATTTTATTTAAGTCTAACTTACCTGTTTTCTTTTGCTTTTATTAGTATACACACACAAAAAAAAATATTTGTTCAAATGAATTATATACAGTGTGCAAAGTGTGTTTACGTGTACAGATGTGCTTAAAACGGTACAGTCCTTCCAGAATCTGAAAGATTGTAAAGTTTTATTTATTTAAAAAAAAAAAAATTATTACTTGAATTTATTATCCTATTTATTTGTTTACACACTGTTGGTGCTTTATTTTTCAATTGTCCGCATTAGTAAAGCTGGGATCTCAACATCATATAGTGGGGTAAAGCTCAAAGTACTTAAAGCACCTGTAGGTCAGGGGAGCAGATTCACAGCCCTGGACAAACCAGGGACAATGACGCAGAGAACCCAAACCAATATATTAAAACGTTTTTTTAAGCATAGACAATTGAACAGGATTATTAGTGTAAATTAAATGTATGCCTAGTTACTATTTGTTTTGTAACAAGTTTACACACATCCCACATTAAGTAGCTTAATTAGGGCAGTACAAAATGCTTTAATGTATTTCTAAAATGATAAACATCTTGCATATTCTGCAAGGATTACATTTCCAAAGGTAAATTAAATGTATATACATGAGCTGGCAGAACTGAATGCTATTCATATTGTAAAGATGTTGTGAACACCAATCAGTAAGCTGACATGTGCTCGATAGTTTTACATGTAGGCCTATTGAGTAACACCCACGCAGGATTACCACGCACCTTAATAATTTTGATGATCAATTACAGATTATGATGTGATAACACCAAACCGAATTCCTCCATTTATTGTGTCATTCAAATTAGAAGACTAATATCATACATGTCATATGCTCATCAGTACTTTTCTGTTGTTCAGTCAGGTTGACGTTGAACTTGCTCCTATAAACCCGTTCTCTCTAACTTGGTCGCCATGGCAACTGAGGAGAAGAAACCAGACACAGAGGCTACTAAAACACAGCCGGCATCATCTGCCTCCGCCAGCCAGAGCAAGGTAAAAACATCGCCAGGAACACCCCTCTGCGACACAGTTTGGAATAGTTTTGTGCTTGGTTATGGATCATTTTTATGTTGTGTAACAGATACACTGTTGTAAATGGTATAGCAGCATTATTACAGAAATGTGCTTATGATCTGTGACTATCATTTCTCTATATTGTGTCATTAATGATGTGAGTTCTGCTCTATCTCAGTCAGCACCTGTGAAGCCAAACTACACCTTGAAGTTCACACTGGCTGGCCATACAAAAGCAGTCTCTTCTGTCAAGTTCAGTCCAAGTGGGGAGTGGCTCGCCAGCTCATGTAAGTACTTGTATAAATACAGCACTCATACTCATTGAGAATAGTTATAGCATATAGCACAGGGCTTCCCAAAAAAACATTTTGCCAGTCAAAATTTTCTTTAACCTGACACACCTATTTTCTCACAACTCTACGTTAATTTATATACATTTAATTTTTATATACATGTATATAGTGTTGTCACGGTACCAAAATTTCAGTATTCGGTACCAATACCAGTGAAAATCCACGGTTCTCGGTACCAATTTCGGTACCAAAGCTTAATTTAGATAAAATTTACATATATTAAAGTGTATATCACAGTTACAAAGATGGAAACTGTAGTATTAAAAACACTTTACAATAAGCTTATATTTGTTAGATAACATTAGATAAAATGACCTAACAATAAACCATAGTTATATACATAGCAATTATTCTCCTTGGGGTTCATTTAAAAAATATATTAAATACATTTTTTAAATCAAAAGTTTGATCTGTTAACATTTGCTGATGCACAATAAATGAGGTGAACAAACATGAACAATCAAGTGTTTGTATTAAATAACATTCACAAACATTAATTAATGTTGTAAAAATATATTGTTCACTCAATGTGTTGATGTTAACACATCAAGTAATGTTAATGAATGGTATCTTATTGTAGTGTTACCAAACTATACAGGAGATAAAACATGTTTTATTTGACTTAACTGTAGCCTACTTTTATTTAATCCAAAACTGCCAAAAATGTCACTCTTGCCTGTCTTCATAACTTGAGAACCCTGTAGCTGATTTCTAATGCAAGGGCTAGAAATCAATTAATTCTTTGCTGATACTTCCTCGTCATCACGGAGAGCGCAGTTTGCACCGCTTTCTCCTTCTCTCCACAAGCGCTCGCTCTCGCGTGTCTCCGCTATCCAACCATAAACAGTGACGCGCCTGGAAAAACAAGCTTGCACGTCGCTTCTATTATGAGCGCGCTTCCCGCGCGCCTACATTTGAAATTTGCACGCGCAAAAAACGTGCTATGTGAACGTGTGAACGGCCCTTTATGACAACGTGACATTAGCCTAATTCAACATATTTCCATATGTGGCTCTTTCCTCCTTTCTTGTCAACAAGTGGATTCAGAGCCAACGCATTAGCAGCGCCGCCGGTCGCCATGTCTCAGTGTTTTTATGAAGAGGACGCAACTCTGCACCTTTCGGACAGCGCATCAAGAACCGGATTAACCCGGTACTCGGTACCTAGAAAAGCTGGTACCGTAACCGTTAATTTTTTTTGGTACCGACTTGGTACCGAAGTACCGAGTTTTTTGACAACACTACATGTATATGTATGTATACGAGGCATATATTTATATATAGAGAGAGAGAGAGAGAGAGATATTAGGGGTGTAACGGTACATGTATTTGTCCAGAACCGTCACGGTTTGGTGCATACAGTCAGATGACAAATAGTGAGTCCACACACCAATCCAGAATGTGGCGCACGCAGTAATGCAATGCTGTTTGCTAACTGCCACAATAGAAAAGACAATATATCCACCAAAACAAGAGTTCTGATTGCACACAAGAGCTTGCTAGTAACCTATACGCTGAGTTTCGATAAATTTTTCCACAAACTTCACGGAAAGGAAACCGGGACGGCAGAAAGCGGCATCCTGTTTGGCGTCTTTTTTTTTCAAAAGCACAATGTTTTTTTTATTCTGAGTGTACACAAATAAAAATACACTTATCTTTTTGACCATAAGTAAGTATTTTAAGTAGTTTCCGCTGTTATGAGACAAAAATCATTTGGCATTGTGTCGATTAGTCGTGGAAGCCTCAGATGCCGCTTCTCTCGCTGTCTCCACATGCAAAGGTGAAGTAGGCTCTTTTCCTTTTTCTCGCTCATCTTTCCATGATTTCTTGAAAAAGTGTAATATTGAACTTTGTGCATCCGCCATTGTCACAGCATGTTAATGTACTCACGCGCTGAGAAAATGACAGCGTAGGCAAGCCACAACACATTAATCAAACGACATCATCCAGATGTGCCAGTCACTAGAGCTAGAGAGAAAAAGACTACAGGAGTCCAAAAACTTTTCAGTTTTATAGCTGATTGTGACTGTAAAAACTGTAAAATAAATGGGGAACAAAACAGGATTTGTTGCTGACTGTGACCCCAAAAACCGAGGTACGTACTTAACCGTGACTTCCGTGTACTGTTACACCCCTAATATATTTTATATTTATTTATTTATTTATTTATTTTAACAGAAAATTACAGGGATACCTTTAAGTCTGTGTTTAGTTGACAAAAGGTTTATAAATGCTTCTTTATAAAAGTAATGTTTGTATTAAACAAAAAGTATATCAAAATTATTTGTAAAAAATTGGGAAATTATGCTGAAAGATGTGAAGATAAAGTGGTCCAGGTGCACATTGTGTTCCCAAAATGCATGTTATAATTGACATGCAGATTACGAGATTGTGAGCAGCATTTACTGTGAACTAAGCCATTCCACATTACACCAGTGATCACACTAAACCATACCATGATTTCAAATTTATTTTAATTGCAGCCCAATTTATTTATTTAATACAACAATTTATGATTTAATTATTAGCTTTTAAAGGTTGTATCAGCGATTGTGGGTGACGTCACTTCTGTTTGTGTTTGAAGCGAGATCCCAAACAAACCAAGTTAGCTCGCCCCTCCCTCCCGTTTCGTGCTGCATGAAAAAAAAAAATCATATTTCTTAAAGCGACAAACAAACGATATTCAGATTGACGTTCTACCTCAATGATGGCTTATTCTGCTGGGTAAATCATTATAGTTGTTTTTCTAACATAATTTTATAACCAAGTAAATATAATATCTGTTACTTGCACTTTCAATATTGTGTATTCTAAAATAGGCTAATGAAAAAAAAAAAAAAAAAAAAAATTTTACTTTGTATGCATGAACATTATGTTACCAACTACATATCTAGCTTCCAGATTTTCTCCCAGCTAGCAGAATAGTTTTTTTTTAATATAAATGGTTACAATCAAGTTGTCATAACGTTGCCTATTATCATTTATTTAACTTGTACAGTTCTGTACAAGGGAGAGGGAGAGGTCGGGCTCGAGCTCGGGCTGCTTCAAATCTTTAAGCTCTCTCTTCCGTTCAAAAGCCTTCCCAATTATTATTCGTTTCTTTAACGAATAATGACGCTTTTCCCTCGCCCTAATCCTCCTCCTCTTCTTGGGGATTGCCTCTTCCATGTTCACTGTATCTGGTCCGTTGATAGACGCGCTGGCTTCTTCTTCAGCTCTGACTTCGCGTGCAGGCGCCGTGCACGAGCGCAAAAACAAACCAAACCCGCCCCTGTCGGTGATTGGTTGGAACACTGTTTATTTTGGTTTTGAGTGGTGGTTGTACCCCATTTGTTTTTGTGTGCAGATCTCAGAGCCTAGGCTGCCTACAGAGACGCGTTTTTTTGACAGCCTGCTTATGGGGCGGGCAGCTAGCGGATCGTTAGGAAAGATTAGATGAATGTGATCATTTATGTTTGGGCCTGAAATCGCTGATACAACCTTTAATGAATATTGTTTTTAAATAAGAAAAAGGTTTAATGTTTGTTTCCGCTCATCCAGCTGCTGATAAGTTGATCAAAATATGGGGTGCATATGATGGCAAGTTTGAGAAGACGATATCTGGACACAAACTTGTGAGTATCTCAAAAGATCCATGATCTCAGAGTAGTGCTGCTTTTACTGCACAGGGTGACTGACCTGGTTTGCTCTCATCTGCAGGGCATCTCAGACGTGGCCTGGTCCTCTGACTCCAACCTCCTGGTCTCAGCTTCCGATGACAAGACCCTGAAGATCTGGGATGTGAGCTCTGTAAGTCAACATCACAAAGCTGAACCTTTTAATATAGAATTGAAAGCATCTGAGCTTTAATTGTTATGATGACACAATTTATCATATTCGTTTTTCCTTTCTGTTTTTCACCAGGGAAAGTGTTTAAAAACACTGAAGGGTCACAGCAACTATGTATTTTGCTGTAACTTTAACCCCCAGTCCAATCTCATTGTATCTGGATCTGTAAGTCCATTCATCATTTTATATTTTACAATTTTGTTAATTATGGCATATATGCATTATGCATTCTAATTATTATCTCTCCGGCAGTTCGATGAGAGCGTGAGGATTTGGGATGTTAAAACGGGGAAATGTCTGAAGACACTGCCAGCTCACTCGGACCCCGTCTCTGCGGTGTGTGTTTTTATTTTTTTATATATTTTTTTATTGACCTATGATGATCACAACCGTGTACATTGGGTGGGTGATATACTTTTAAGTGATATTTTCTTTTTGAATTGTGTATTTTTTGTTTATTATAGGTTCATTTCAACAGAGATGGTTCATTGATTGTGTCCAGCAGTTATGATGGACTTTGGTGAGTGAGCTTTGGCCGTGAACATTATTTTGAAAACGTGTCAGATGCATAACTAACAACCATACCTACTTATTTGACTTTTAAACAGCCGGATCTGGGACACAGCATCAGGCCAGTGCCTTAAAACACTTATCGGTAAGTTCACCAGTGTTTTACACAAAAGCACTTGTTCAGACTATTTTCAAAGGCAACAATTTGTTCCTTGAAAGTAGCTATGTTTCCATCCAAAAAAGAGAATTTAACTTATGCACAAAGTTAGAATATCGCATAAAACATTGTGAATAAACCACCGTTTCCACCCCATGTGTTCAAGAGAACAAAATCGTTACTAATTGTAAATTAGTGCAAAATATCTGTAATAAAAATGAACGTTGCTGCAATCAGATAAGCCACTGTGGCTCTTTTTTCGTACATCATAAACGACTTGCGCCTCAGAGTGCACAGACGAAATGCAACAAAAGCTGTCATGTTATCTTGTGTTCGGATGCTTGGTGTTTGGGAACACAACAGTTTGAGACAATTCTGGGAGGTTATTATACCCAACCGTTTTGATGAATAAAATTGCACCTCAATCGAGCGCTTTTTGTTTTTTTATGCTCATTTTTAGAATTTATGTACATTTTTAGAATTGATGTACATCTTTGTGTTTCCATCCAACTTTTTTTTTAATGTGCTAACCCAAAATTTGCATACAAATATATGGGTGGAAACATAGCTAGTGTTTATGCAACACGCATGCATAACATTTAGCCAACAAGAAACTGGTAAAATACAACTAAATGTACAACATCTTAAGTTAGAAGAAAGAGATTTTAAAGCATAAACGGGCATTATAAATAATGAATACATTTGCAAATTTTCAACAGATGATGACAACCCACCTGTGTCTTTTGTGAAGTTCTCCCCCAATGGCAAATACATCCTGGCTGCCACTCTGGATAAGTGAGTCATATATTTCCTTTTATTCTGATCCTTTTATACTGCTCATTCTTTAAAAAAAGAGAATAGTCATGAAATTTATATTAATCCATTTAGAAGCCGTTAAAAAAAACGCATTCATTCCCTTTGTGTTTTAGCACTTTGAAGCTTTGGGACTACAGCAAAGGAAAGGTTAGTATTTTTCTGTTTAGTTAGTGCATTGTTTTAATAAAAAAAATCATGCTTAATCTGTGTATAACAATATCCTTTTTCCTTGATTAGTGTTTGAAAACTTATACCGGTCATAAAAATGAGAAGTACTGCATATTTGCTAATTTCTCTGTCACTGGTGGAAAGGTATGTAGGCTCTGCACTATACTAATCAATTTCTAAGCATATCACACTAACACAGGCAATCATTAGTGTTGTTCAGAACCATTAAATTGTTATTGCCGAAAGTGATTTTACATTTTTTAAAAATGTTTTTTTCTTTTTAAGTGGATTGTCTCTGGTTCAGAGGACAACATGGTCTATATCTGGAACCTTCAGACCAAGGAGATTGTACAGAAACTACAGGGGCACACAGGTAGGAGCAGAACTTCAGTGGATGTTTCACGAAGAAGCTTTAGCCCAACAGTTTAAACACTTCCTGCTAATAGCTTGAGCTAAGCAGTGCTAAAAAAATTTTGGTTGTCATATTGAATCATTTTTTTTCCATAAAAATCACACACACACACACACACACACACACATATATACATTATATATATATATATATACTGATAACTGACTGCTACTTTTGACATTAACCCCCTTTGCTCAGGGACACGGAGTTCCATTTCTGTTTGTCAAATTTCAGTTTATGGCTCAGTTGATAAATCTTTTTTTGTTCATGCAAATATTTGTTTCCTTTTTTTTGCCCAAAATTTTAATAGCTACACTTCTAATGTAGATTGAAACTAATCTTGTTTTTTTTCTTTGTAGATGTGGTGATCTCAACCGCATGTCACCCCACAGAAAATATCATCGCATCAGCAGCACTAGAAAATGACAAAACCATCAAACTTTGGAAGAGCGACTGCTAAGCCTCAAGCTTATTTTACTTTATTATTTTGTTATTTTTTTAATTTTCTACTGTTCATTATGTGGGGAGGGGGGTAAGAGACTTTTGTTTTTCATTTGAAAGGTCACGCAATGCCGTTCACATTGACATCAAGGCTCGGCAAGAGCATTGGTGAAAGCGCCCTACCCGACATACCCTCTCCTAACACAGCACCCCTCTCTCCACTCATGTGCACTAAAACAATCACTTTCTCTCTGCCTTGCCACCAGCTCTCGTTCATCAGTTTAAGCATCCAGCAAAACTTTTAACCAGACTGTAAATCTAGGCAGCTTTGTTTGAAATTCACAGACCTGTTAGGACAAAGAGAGCGTTCATGTCTGTTTTTTTTCCTGTAAGTTTTGTAGAATCAGTGATGGTTTGCACACTTTCTGAAGCCAGCAGAACGCCTTGGGCACATTTTTAAGTGGCCATTTTAACCGAAATGTTTGGAGGATTAAATTTCTCTTCTTGATTTTGTCATTTCCATGAGCGATTTGCAGCTTCTCTCCACTATTTGGCCAAGAAGAGGTTTCGCAAACTTCATCTGTGAACACCTGAAATACTTACCTTGACTTACTGATGTCAAATCAAACCTCCATGTACGAAATGTGTTGTGTGGCAGAAGGATGTTTTGAACATCCACTATTTCATGTTTTTTTCTGTAAATGTTAAAACAGCAATTAAATCAATTCATTGTGTTATAGTTGCTAAGCTAATTGTCAGACATCGTTTATGGTTTTCAGTGGCTTTCAGTGTCGTCTAGGCAGTGCTAACAATAAAACTCCTTTCTCTTTTGTTATGAAGGCTTATTGCAGTTACAGAGATGATGTATGCCAAAAGTTCACTTTATTCCTTCAGCTGTAACTACCTGTAACACCTTTTGTTCATATCAGTTTTGGTGCTTTTGATCAATAAAACTACAATACATCGGGATGGAATAGCTTGGTCAGCTTTCAGAGAAAGCATTATCAGTTAAAAGGAAAAGTTACTAGTAGACTGAAGTTTCACCAACTATAAATATTCATTCTAAGCTACAAAGAAAAAAAATCCTACCTGCACAATCTGGTAAAAGACAAACCGTTTCTAACTGTTATCTGGTTACAGTTACACACGCAAGGAGGAGTGTTGCTGTGATCTGAATATGCCATAACCTTGTATCTCTTGACCAAAAGCAGTCTCGATGTATTAAGAGCCTTGAGGTGTTTTGTGTACCTGACACTTTGTACATACTTGCAGCTTCTCTGTTCTTTGATATGTTTACCTTTTGTTCTGTGGTATTTTTAACGGTCTCAAGTAGCTGAGAGTACTTCAAAACTGTTTTATTTTTTCTGCTTTATGTGGATGATGGTTTGTCATAAACCCATCCTCTGCTTCTGGACTCGCCAGATTTCCAGTGCACTGCAGTGATGACAGGGGCCGCATGAGGAATTGTATCTGTATTGCATTTAGTCACTTTGGACATGACCTGTGACTCAATAAAGATTTTTTTACCTCTATCAATGCAATATTGTCCATGCATTTATATAAAGTATATAGTTTAATTATCTTCTGTGCATTAGGTTTGAAAACAGTGCTGTTAACAGAAAGGTTTATTTTGTGATGACTGGCTGACTGTACATTTTCCCACTTGTCACACAGCAATGGTGAGAATTCTCCAAGTGGGTGGACCTCTCTATTTGTCTCCTTTCAAGGCTTTTCTGAGTGTGTAATTTATCAAGCTACAAGCTACTCATAATTGAACTCTAGAATGCATGAACCGAAAAACCCACATGAATGCATAAAGGGGTCAAAATGACCCATATTGGAATGAATGGTTTTCTTAAAAAAAAAAAAAAAATGTGTCCTATTATAATTGAATAATGAAAATAATGGATTATACACAAATGTTTTAATATCAAACATGTTTATTTGTCCACTTTCCTTGAATATATGCATTACAAAAGATGAAATGTTGTACTTTTTCTAAACAAACTCTTAACTAATTTAAATGTAATTTACAGTTCTGAACCGTCACTCCCCACACTTCTCTCACAGACCATTAAAAAATAATCTTTTCAGACAGAGAGATTAACATTTCACATAAGATTTTCACCTTTCGAAGCATAACTTTTGGGCAGAGTTTGCACCCCTTCATTTGTTTAAGGCCTTTCAGATTTCTCTACTCATCTACTGCATCTGAAATTGCATAACGTCTGAGTAGGTTCTACATTTGAGAACTTTGTGACTGTTACTTTTTTTTTGAAGAATTAATGGAATATCAAATATTTATAATAAAATATTTTTGAAAATCACAGCATGCTTCCAGGTCAGTTGGACCCCTTTACACATTCTAGGGTTAAAGTACATAAACTGCTGCAAAATCAAGCAACTATTTTAAAATATATATGAACCAGACCGTGATTGTGACTGTGATAATCAGTGAAAAGGCCTATTTCTGAAAGCTGTTCATTTATGAGGACCTTCCGAACGAAGTATTTCCCTAAAATGATGCAGACTTTCCAATATCTCTGCCCTAGTTTGCTGAAGTTTAGTTATTTAATAAAAAATAGGCTAAACAATAATAAAGCAAGAATAATTTGTTGAAATATGTGAGATGGTTTATTCAAAGTGCAATGGTTAAACAAACAAGGTTTTTCTCTTTTTTTCAAATATTTATTGAACATTTTCCAACTTTAGCAGAAAGCACAACAAAAATTTCAACCACAATTAAGGGAAAAAAGGCTAAAATAATGAGCACATTATACTTAAAGGGTAAAGAAAGGTAATCAAGGTAAATAAATAAGATAATAAAGTAAAAATAATTAAACAATAACACTAAATATATAACTGCTGTACATTACAATTTCAAAACCACTATGTACTCACTTCTGGCACATGAATGGTAAAACTCTCCAGCAGAATAGTTGACAGTTCCCTAGATTATTGATATATAGGGCTTCCAGACATTATAAAACTGGTCAGGCTGACCAAGTTAAATATTCCAGCGGAATTAGTTCCATCAAATTCGTGTGCCAACCCAATGTAGTCGGAGACTTGTCTCTTATCCACCTCAGTAATATGCTTTTCCTAGCTGCAAATGTAAGAAGATTATAGTCTTTTTTTCTTCAAAATCAAAGCTTTATCAGACAGACCAAGGATAATAAAGGATAAAGGAACCAACTTATTATCAAAGATCTTACTCATTTCAGAAACTATCTTGGCCCAATATTTTTGTAACTGATTACATGACCAAAGACAGTGAGTGAGTGTACTAATTTGTGTTTTGCACTTAATAAAGCAAAGAGGAGAAAGGGTTAATACGGTTTGGTGAAATATGCATCCTACAATTTTGAACTGTAGCCTATAGCCTTGGCATGATTACAGAGATAGATTTAGCATATTTCAAAATACTACTTCACTTGACAAAAAGTTCTCTCTCCCAAGCACATCTATTCAGAAACATTTCCCTCAGATTGAGAACCTTGCAGACTCACTGACTTTTTTTTCAGGTGTCTGAAATAGTAGTTTTTCTATATGAACCAGACTTCTGTTATTATATAATGAGGTCTTTCAGAATATAGCTAGTTTCTAATCTGTAAAAAAAATACGAAAAAAAAGTTCATGCTTTAATAATTGATACCGCTGTGCTGTATCAACTCCTCAAAAGACATCAAACCTTCATTAAACAACAAGTCCATAAGCCGACTAATACCTTGGTTCACCCAAAATCTAAACCTCCCTTCAGATCATGGAAGTCCGTATTGTTCACAATTGGCGTGAGAGCAGAGGTTAACTTAGTTCTTTCCTCGAAACGACAAACAGCCTTCAATGCCTTAAGTGCAATTTACAGTTACAGGGTTATCACAATTCTCCAATAGGCTATGTTTTTGTTGTAGTTGAAAAACAACAAATCCACAAGGGGAAGTTTTGACAATGATTGTTCAAGATCTAACCACGTAACCTAGAAGAGTTATCAGGAGCAACCCAATCAGAAATTAAAGCTGCTAGCAGCATTTAGCGGTGTTCAAGCAGTTAAGGACTTTAAGGCCGTTAAGCACAAAAGCATCAAAAGACATTAAGTTTTATGTAGCAAGCGTTTAACCATTGACATCATAGATGAAATAGACCATGTTTTAGCATGATTTACCATGATATACCAAATTTAGTGTGATTTTTCATGATCTACCATGTTCCAGTATGATTTACCATGAATCTAGCATGATTTACCACAGTTTACCAGGTTTTACCATGTTATAGGATGATTTACCATGATATACCACATTGTAGAATGATTTACCAGGATCGTAGCATCATTTACCATGATTCATCACATTGCTAGCATGATTTGCCATGATACACCATGTAATAGTATTTTTTACTATGATTTACCATGTTTCTATCGTGATTTACCATGATTGCCCACATTGCTGCATTGATGTGAAGTGCCAATAAAAATGAAGTGATAAACTCTGAAAAAATGATTGTGTTATAATAGTTAACATGGAAAAACTGGTTTGCAGAATAATGGTGAAAATCAAGTGTGTCAAAATGAGAGTAAGCCAATAAGTGGTCTTCTACTGCCCTCTGCTGGCCACTCTACTTATTAATAAAGTGTTTTCACGGGTGCTTTTGCACTCATATGTAGACATTTGCTCACACACACACACACACACACACACACACACACACACACACAAAGTCATTATGAAAATATATTTTAATGGTCTATAAGCATTTCATGTCTTTGCAAGCTATTAATCAGATTATTCAGAATTTATTCATAAACATGGGACTACACACACACACATTCTATTGTAGATTAAACTGTCTCATTCAGGGTTCACATTTGTCAATGTGACAATGAATTTTGACTAAATGTGAGTGTAAATGTTAAAATAGTGATTTTATAAAGTCTAAATATGAATTATAGAATAATATTAGTTAGTAGCATGACAAAATGACTATTTTAAACAGCAGGGGGCAGTAAAATACCACTTATTGGCTTAATATGCCAGTGTTCATATCATTTTCACCTTTTTAATTGTTATAGAGGCATATTTTGTCCGATTTGTCTGAAATTTTTCATGCTTGTTTAGAGTCACGTGTCACATGTTCTGACTTGATTTGAAGAAGATCTGAGCATTCATTGAAGAGATATAGGCGTTTGGGGACACTTGGTCAAAGCTACATATTGAAGTGACCCTATTAAAGCCATCCAAATGAAGAAGTTATACCTTTTCTGATATTTATTGATCTAGAGAGTCCAGAGAATTGTACTGCACTGGTTTAGAACATTATGATATGAACTTTATATGATCATAGATGGAAAAGACCATTTACAGCCAATACAGGCAATTTACCGAAATGTATGGTTTTAAAGCTTTTTAACAGTTATAGCGCCACCTATGGTCCGATCTCCATGAAACTCTGCATGCTTCTTCAGCATGTTATGACACATGTGCTCATCAATTTTTGTGAAGTTCTGAGTTTTTATTTATGATTTATAGGCTTTTGAGTGTATTTTGACACGCCCCCTTTTCTAAATGACCCTGTTATAGTGAACCAAAGGGCAAAGTTCAACTTTTTTTTGATAATTATTGATCTAGAGAGTCCAGAGAATTGTCCTAGACTGGTCTGGTTCCGATCAGGCAAAAAACCAGGGACTAGTTCGCAAAAGTAGGTTTTGGACAAAATTGGCCATAACAAATTTTTATTTGCTCATCGAGAATCCGAGATATACGTCTTGTCCGTCTTGAGCCAAGGAACACAGTGGTGCAAAAAGCTTGATTCTAAATCAAACGGTCTATGAGTTATGAGCAATTTAGTACTTTTGGTTGCTGTAGCGCCACCTATGGGCCAATCGGGGTCATACTCTGATAGGTTCTCCCCAAACTGAGGCCCTACCACCTGGCCAGGTTTCAAGTCTCTAGGCCTTACGGTTTGGGCTGCACGATGCGTTTTAGTTTTTTTTTTTTTTTCAAATAGCAATTACAATAGGTTCCCTTTCGAGAGGTTCCTCCTATTGCGTAATAGCTTTACGCTATGGGAAAACTCCTTTTCTCGAGAAATATTGAAGTCTTTATGTAAAACGCATTGCAGCTGCACAGCATACAGCAATGAGCGAGGCAGCTCGGTCATTGGCTGTGCTGCGGCAACTTGCACGAACCAATGACGGGGCGACTCTGAACCCGCTTCCAATGAGCGTGCTTCGCGCCCACGCGCGTCAGAGCCCGCCAAGATGGGCGTGGCCAAGGGCTATATATTGGGCGCCCCGTCGTCTGAGTTCTTTAGATTTAATCTCCTTCAGCAAAGAACCTTCTCTTCGCTGGATCCTCCGGATTTGTTGGAGTCTTTTCGCCGCCGCCGTCGACAAGCCTACAGCAGGACTGCTTCGAGGACGCCGGCGCCTTCAGCCGCCTTCGATCGCCCTTCTGCTAAGCCATCCGGCGCGCACCATCTATATCCTTTTACAAAGCTATCAGTGTTCGCCCCCGCGACACTTTTTCTAAAAGAGTCA